AAAAAATAGGAAATTCAATCCATTCATATAAAGTAAGACTGGAAGGTATTCTGATCATGCTATGTCAAATCCCTGGATCAGGACAACATTTGCAGTAGAACATCATCCAAGAGAGATACATTGAAATGCTGCAGCTGAGAGCCAAAGCAAGATGAACTCAAACACAGGGCTGGGGTTTGGTTTGGTTGGTTGGTTTGAGTTGCTTTTTTCTGAGAGGACAGTAGTTGCTCAAGTAACTTACCTACAGAGGTGACTGATTCTTTTTCAGAAGTTCTTAAAGCAAGATTTTTTTTTTCTCTAAAACGTATGCTTAACCTCTTGACATTAGGCTTCTGATGAATCAGTCAGTGAAGTTTTTATGACTGATATCCAGAAGACATTGAGGTGCAGGAGTGGGTCCAGAGAAGAGCAACAAAGCTGGTGAAGGGTCTAGGGAACAGGTCTTATGAGGAACAGCTGAGGGAGCTGGGATTGTTTAGTCTGTAGGAGGCTGAGAAGAGACCTCATTGCTCTCTACAACTGCTTGAAAGGAGGTTGTACTGAGGTGGGTGTTGGTCTCTTCTCTCAAGTTACTAATGATAGAACAGGAGGAAACGGCCTCCAGTTGCACGAGGGGAGCTTTAGATTAGATATCAGGAAACATTTCTTTACCAAATGAGCAGGGAGGCACTGGAAGAGGCTGCCCAGGGAAGTGGTGGAGTCTCCACTCCTGGAAGATTCAAAACACACACAGATGTGGCACTTTGGGACACGGTTTAGTGGTCTTAGTAGCGTTGGGCAGACGGTTGGACTACACGATCTTAGATCTCTTTTTCACTCTAATGATTCTAAGAGTGATCACATATGACTTTACCAACAAATGGGAATTTGAGCCTGTAATGGCCATTACCAATGAAACCTTTGCCTCAGCTGCTGATTTGCCTTCTATTTTGGGAGCCTTTAGTCAAATACTGGCAGTACCCACTGTTTTAAAACAGCAGTAGGTGCAAACCTCTCTCAAGCAGAAGAACTTGGCTCTGCGGGCAAACTTTTGCTCACTAATTTGAACTAATTGGCACAATCTAAAAAACCCAGAAAGGCAGGAAGAACTGGGAGACTCATACTACAGCCCAATTCCCTACCAGAAAAGAAAGGAATTCTGTGTCCAGAAGCACATGCAAAGAGGGACTGGGATGAATAAATCAGCTGGATCTGGGGAATTCAATGCAGCTGTTTTCTGGAAGTAATCACCCTTCAAACAAATCCAGAGGCGTACACAAGAGAGAGAGAGTGAGAATATGGCTTTAATTCATTTGCCTGATAATTTCTATATTAATGGATACTAAAAAATCTTGATATAGTTGCCAACGAAATACTAACGGTGGATGAAAAGCCAGAGGGGGAAAAAGATCCTGCTGGAAACCAGCCGGCCCCACTTGCAGAGTTAGTGCAAACTACAGTGGCTTCCCAAAAGCCATTGTGGTGACCTGGTTTTAAAGCACTCAGATGCTGCTGGTGGAATGAATCTCAGCAGTGGATTTGTCATGGAGAAGATTCAAGCTGAAGAAATGATTCCGACAAGTGGTAGAACCCTACAGATTAAGGCAGGAGACATTCAAAATCTTATGTAAAGCACATAAAGTTCAAACAGTTAACATACTTCAGAAGACTTGATTGGAAAAAGGAAAATAACTTCAGAATATACCTTCAAAACACATGCACAGATGATCACCTTTGCTTTAGCCATCAGTCTTTTGATACTAAGTCTCAGACTGTTTTACGAGAAAACTTTGCCAAATATTGTGCAGGTTCACAATTCTCCATTTAGCACCAAAAAAATACAGAGACGTTGCAAAAAGGATCAGGCTAAGACTCTGGAAGAATGCATCTAAATCAGCTATACGGAACAGGAAAATTACACTACATATTTTTAATACTGTTTATTTATACTTTTAAATAAAAAGCTTGCTGATTTAGTCTCTACATAGGGAGAATTCTTTTAGAATTTTACGAAGGTGCCTCAGTCAAGACACCAGGACAAAACTGACTGAGTGTTCAGATACTTTACTGTATTAAATCTTGCAAATTGACAATACAACTCACTAGTATGAGAAACCTTTTCAAAACTTCAAACTTCAGTGAAAGCTCAGAGCACTTATTTTACAAGTAGAGCATCTTACACATTTGTCAATAGCTGCTCGTTACAGTAACTCCAAGGCTTAGCTAAGCAAGCCTTACAACTACACAGAAAGAACCTGAATATGTAAAAGAGCACACACGTTTACCATAAACAAATACAACCAGAAAACAGAAAGGTTTGTGCAGAGTGCTTGCAAAATAACTCCTGATTTAGTACCAAAGCACTGAAGAACAGCAGCTTCCCAGTTACCCAAACCTCCAACAAGAAAGTGAACTGTGCATTTTAGTTCATTCCTAATAATTTTGAACATGCAAATGCCAAGAACTCCTGGGAGAGGCATTGTATTAGGGAACCACAGGTATACTCGTAAGCACAAACCCTCATGCAGTGTGTACTGTGCACCTGCGTAGAGAATACAAATATCCACACATGCACGTAATTAAGAATCTTTCTCCTTCAATTCAACCACACTGGGTTTCAAATTTCAGCTCTCTGATGCTCTAAAGATTTCTGAAAAAACAGCCCTTGTCGTTAATACAGGAATGACCTCAGGTCCCTGGGGCATGGACTGGCAGTGCCCACCGCCCGCAGCTGGTCCCGGGGAACTCGGCACCTTCCCCGTCGCTGCCAGCCAGGAGGGACCACTGCTACCCCCAGCTCCGCTCCACCTCCTCACACCACGGCTACGTGCTACTGGCAGGGGGGGGGGGATCCACTGGGAAAGAAAAAGGAGCTGGAAGAGGGAGAGGGGGGGAGAAAATCCACTGGAAAAGAAACAGGAGCTGAAAGAGGGACAAACAGGGAGTTCAAGAGGCTGAAGAGAGGAGGCAGCATCAGGCTCCCTTGCCCCACGACGGGCTTTCCGCTACGGCCCCACTATCTGCAGCCCCTGCTCCGCCAGGCTCACAACCCCCTGCGCCACAGGCACATCCACCCTTCAGCTGTGAACACCTTGGCTTTTCCCCCATGGCAAGAGCTCCCAAGCCTTCCGTGGCGCTCTTCTCCCCTCCTTCTCTCTGAAAACCATAGACAGGAGACGTATCAGCTAGACAAAAATCTTATACCAGTGCACATGTGAAATACAAGGTAAAGAAAGAAAAAAAAAAGTCTTTTGCTATTACTGGACATGCTGCAGACATTGTGCCTAGTAACTGTGGCAACATCTAGAGCAAAAGAAACTTAGCATGAATCTTTTTTTCAAATGACATTCAACTCAAACATGCATAGGGAGAGTAAAGTTATTTTATTAAATCATGCACATCACGTGTGTTAGTGCAAATAGTTTAATCTGTACTCCAGAAATTCTACTGTATTTTTATATCTTTACAAAATAGATTTAAAACAATTATTTACTTTAAAAAATGTAATTCTGAAGTTAAGCATTTCAGAACAATATTTGCAATAACCTATATACAAGAGGTACTAAGTACCACTGGCATACGAGCGTTCTGTGGTTGGTTGCGTGGCTTCCTGCAACTGAAAAGGATGAAATAAATGAACTAAATGACAGAATGTATTTTCTACAAGTCACTTGTGGACTATTTCTTCCAACTAATAATCCTCCCATTAGCAAATCCCACGTAACTTAAGACAGAACCTTTAATTAAAGGACAATGACCCTTAAAAACTTACAAAGTAAATTATACGCTAAATTTCTATTTAAATATTTCAACTATCTGTCGATTGCCGTAACATTCTTTAAAGCCAATTCAATTGCTGAGATGATCTCCCTATTTTGAAGTTTCCTTTAGTGGAGCCATTTTACTTTACCATTCTTTAGCATATTATTTAAGTCTTGATAAACTTTTTTGACAGAACTGTTGAGCTGAACAAGACAACTACAGTCTACATTTAATTCAGCTCTAATTACAACGATTCCCACCAAAAATCAGCAAATAGCACTTAGACAAGGAAAATAAACTTTGTAATGGGGACCACTGCATCATACTTACAGCAATGTGATGAGGATGCATAAAATTTTACTACCAAATTAAAATCATCTTCACCTGACAATACTTCATCAGGTATATGATTCCAATTTTGTAGTATTTTATGTATCGTAGATATTTTTTTCAGCTAATCACAGACATACTGTAGCAGTTCTCTTAACAAAGTTACATCAACAAAAGCTTATCTAAAGAGCTTCTCCAGGTCAAGTCGGAAAGTATCAAATGACTGAAAAAATAAATTGATAATAATGTGATATGTGAGAAAGTATTCATACTTTTAAAGAATGTATCTCTTTAAATATATGAAATTTAATAAATTACATTCAAACTAAAGTTAATGTAAGTTGAATCACTGCACTATATCCATCAAATGACCAAGTACTTGCTCCCAGAAACACCTTAGTTCACTCAAGAACACACACATGCTTACACTCGCACACGCACACACCATATATTTTAGACTGGTCTTCACCATCAATAGCTCTATCTCTTTAAGGCTGGACATGAATTGTGTTTATTCCCAAAGATCAGTAATAAAGCAATCCTTATTAAAGAAAAATACGTTTCCTTCAAAAGGCATGGCGAGAGAAATTTTCTTATGTCTTGTTCCCAACAGCTCAGTGACTAACAGCAAGTAAAATGGTATACTAGTTTAAAAAAAAAAAAAAGTTATACTGAAAGGCACTGAGCACACTGTATCTGTTTTCCAAGTATCTGCAGGGTTACTTGGCTTGGGTGTCCAAATCAGAAATTGGTTTTTCCTTTTAAATCTGGCAATCAGATTCTAAAGTAAGTGTCCACAACCCCAGCCATTAGAAATAATTTGGTACCAAGAAGCCTACTTTAGGCCACCATTATAGTATTCAGAATCCCAACAGGCTAATTTTAAAACTTGCATGAAATTGTAAGCAAAAATATTGCTCACAGTATGGTGAATCACAATTTTATTCCCTCTTTATAGACAGATACATTTTATACAGTTTAAAGCAAATGACCCTACTGCTGTTCTCACGCAGAGCTGTGCTGTATTAAGAGGTAAAAAGGAAGAGAATTAATCTGTTTTCCCTCAGTATATGAATGTTGCCAGCTTCTAAAGGGAGGACGGTGTATGGATTCAACAACAGTTCTCATGGAGAAGCTCTGGTTAGGCCTGAGTACAGCACCACGGCTGTTACAGCAACCAAAGCTGCCATCACAGGCATCCAAGGCCATTGTCTCTGTGTGGAGAGAAAACAAAGAATCAATATCGTATTTGTTCTAATTCATACTAATCCGTTTACCCCGTGGTTCCTGAAAGTCCTGAGCACCTCTTGATAGGCATCACTAAAATGCTACCCATGAGCGGTACTGCAGGCTAGTCCCGACTCAGAGCATCCCAGCAAACCCTGTTTCTCTAGCAATGGGAACTCCACAACTCTTCGTGACTGAGGATCATCAGGAGAACTTTTGGCAGTTCCATACTTCCAGCTTCATTACTGTGTGCACCTCAAAGAATTCTGCTGTTAAACACGTGAGTGAGGGCTTAAGATGTTTAAAACATCGTTTGTGCCAAGGAATCGCTAGACACAGGTTTACGCAGTACTGGTATCTTTAACTCAGCTTTTGAACGTTTAAATCACGATCTATGAAGTTAGTTCGTATCAATCTTAACAACATAATTTCTAACAAACTGTCACATCATTTCATGACAATAGCATTTTAAGAGGACACACTGAGAGACGTTAGAGAAAATGCAAGCTGAGAGTTCAGAATACAAACCAACCACCTATTTCTCATCTTGTCTTTTTTTCCATCTTCTTCATATCAATAGTGAGGAAAATTGAAGTGTTTAGAGCCAGAGAGGAATTTCTTAGTCCATAAATAGGAACCAAAGCTTGTCGGTTTTTATTATTAGAGGCAAACTCTTCCTTTTTCATCGTTAATTAAGCAATTAAGTTTTCTTACAGGCCCTAGCATCACAGCATTGTGCAGAAGGTAGCCCATTTGCTAAAGACCAACTGAGACCGAGTTAGCAAAGGCACAGTTAGAACAGAACTGGTTGTTAGAAGTAAAGAAATCACACAGATGTGAAATGATCAGCTGATTGCTCAGCTCGTCAGTGTCAACAGAACGGCGTATCAAATGAAGGGTTTGCTTCAGGTAAAGAAGTACCTGTGAGCATTTCACCATGCACTATTTTATACAGAAATGGCACAAACAGGTGAGAGGGACAAACATACATTGACTGAACAGTAGTGCTTGTACCTTTCGCTACCACAATGGGCCGTAACACCAATACAGGAAAGCCAGGATTAGGCCGATGACTACGGCTGGGACGGGTTGTAATATGGAAGGCTAAAGAAGGGAAGGGATATTAAAAATCACTTTGTGCTACAAATCAATCAGGTAAAGATGATTTAGAGAGGGGAAAATAAGGCAGTGAGTTTTGTTTAATTGAAATGGATTAAAGACATCTAACACAATACAGCATTATCTAACGTGGTATACGAAGTTAGTACACCATTCTACTCAAATGAAAAGGGATGTTTAAAAATAACGGGAAGTAAGCAGAAAATGTTCTAAGACACCTCTTGTCACAACTTGGAATTCAGCACTTAAAATCAATCCAAATCTCAATGGATTTGCCTGTATCTTATTTAGAGTTGGGTTTAGTCCTTCTGAGTGACAGGAAATCCCACCAGGATTTCTTGAAGGAGAAAGACTCACACCAGATATTGAATTTTTCAGCTACTGCTTTATTCCTTCCTAGTTGGCTTTTCCCATTTTCCATCACCAGCTTCCAAGAAAAACAAGAATCTTCCTCCATTACTGAATCAATTATGTTCACAGGCAAACCCAGTAGTTCAGACACTTCTGTGAGATTGTAGCATGACCGTACAATCCACACCAAGGTACTGTAACACAGGGCAGCACACTGCAGTAAGAGATACCGTGAAGATCGGCATCTCTGGCAGGTCAGCAGCCTTGTGACCAAATGCCAATTCCAAACACTGATCAAACACTGCAGCTGCGCAAAACCACCAGCTGGCAAGATTGCAGGATTTCTTTAGCTTATGGTCTCCTTAGAACCATCTAAGCATTTTCTCAGCTACATTCAATTGGCTGTAAATGACCTTACTTGACATTCTGGATGGACAGCATCTATCCCTGGTATAATTAATTAAATGCAGAAATGGACCTAAATTCTTTTTAAGCTGTCCTGGCAAGACATCAGCTTTCTCTGTATCCCAGCTTATATATTCGTGCACACACAAAGACACACAGAGGTTAAATTCAAACCATGCTAAATGTTTTAACAACTTTTTTCTGTGCTGAAGCCACCTTGATTTTGTTCAGTCAAATAAATCAATAAATTATATTTGAAGACTTTCTCAAACATTGTGATTCATAAATAAAATCTCATCCTGTTATGAATTTATAGAAGTCACTTAATCACAGAACCTCCAGCATAGCTCGAAACACAGGAATCTTGGAAGGTATTCTAGTCTTTGCCATTCAATTCAAATTTGCTTTAATCAAGGTCAACATTTAATAGAAAAAACGTGTGTAACTAATGATGTCACTATCATGCAGGATTATTTTTGCATCATTGGTGCCACAAATCAGAGTGCCACCTTCCCACAGAAAGCATATTGGCAGAAATAAGTCACAGCAGTGTTCAAAAGAGCGCCAGAAGCTTGAGTCAACCAGAGCAGCTAATGTTCTCAATCCATTCACATCAATAGATCTGTCATATAAAGTGCATCAGGAAATAAACCAGTGACTACAAGCATGCAAGCACAAGTAGTGCACCTCACTGCTAAGCATTTCAGAACATAACACTGCAGGTTTTTTAGAATTAAACTTAAGTATAAAACCTTAATATTTAAATCTCCCAAACAAAGCACAGAGGCCTTGCCTTTTCTAACATTTGTTAGTTCAATGACAATTCTATGGATTTTTTTAAAAATTATTTTTTAAAGTTATACGCATTCATGGCTGTTGCATCTTGGCAAAGGAAACGAATGATAAACATCCATGAGATGAAATGAAATTGCCTCCAAACGATTAAACTGTCCCCTTCACAAACTTATCAAGGTGCAACAAATCTCTTTCTTGTCAAGGAGCATTTAAGTACTTTTTCAAAACGTGTATCTTGTATTAGAATGTGGAGATATAGAAATGCAGATACAGATGGGCTGCAAAAAGAACCCAGTCCCACAGTGAGTCACTTTCTGGGTGACGCTGCCCTCAGAAATGAAGTAGCAGCTAATGATTGCGGCCTAAAGGGACAATGGGGCTTGAAATACTCGACCTTGGAACTTAGCCCAGTATCCGTGATGCTTCAAATAATCCACAGAACAGACGTGTTTTACATTACTGATTGTGAAAAAAGCTTGCTTGAACAGCAAGCTTGTCCTGCAACTCCTGATATAGCTGGATGCTCTTCATCACAGCCTGACCTCCAGGTTCCAACTGTCTTAACTGACGACTACTCTAGAAGCAGATTTTGGCAACTGTTGTGGTTCTTTATTTTACTAAAATACTCACCTCAAATTCTTCCTAAAATTTTCCTTACATTGCAAGCTTTTCCACCTTCATCAGGTATTCCGATTCCCTTCACAGTATTTCTTCCCTCTACTATCTCCCCTTTTTCCACTGATTATTTTAATCCTGAGGTTAATGGTTTTAACAGAGAAAAAACCCCTCACATTCACATCTATATATTCAGTGCGATCTCTTCTATAGAACAGGATCTTTCTGGTTCTCTTTGAATTCTGCCTACTTTAGTAACTCAATATTTTATGAGCATTGAAAAAGAATTCTAAGCAGGAAGCAGGTTCCAAAAGATTATAATGTCATATTCCTGAAAATACGGCTGAACAAAGTAAGAAGGGCCTTGAGTTCTTCAACAGCTCTACTATGTTAAAGGTTTACATTCAATAACTGGCTCCGGCAAGAACATTCACACAAACTGTGGGCATCCAGTAGCCAGTTCATTTTGGAGGATGGGACATGGAACATTTGTAAGTTAGAGAAACAGTTTTCTAAAAGGCTATTACAGAGCATCCATTATTCTCCTGTTTTGTACCGTCCACTACAGGAGTTGTTCAGCCTGCACTGGCCGTAGAGGCAGCAGTACATCAGGTTATGACCTCCTTGAAACATGTCTGCAGCACCGTGAACGTTTGGCGGATTTCAGAAGTCTCAGTTAAAAAATAAAAATAAAAAATTGTCCCGTTGTCCCTAGTTGTCAAGTCAATTTTAAGGATATTTCTCAAATTAATTGGAATGGAAAAGAGTATTTTCATTAGTAAACAGAAAGGACAGTTTAACTGCACTGTTTAAAGCATGAGCCTATCAGGGACAACCACTGTTAAGAAGCATGAGCAAGAGTAAAGAGGGAACATCCATTGTAATAAATACTAATAAAACAAATGCATCCTGAAAAAGATTGCTTAATTCATTTGGATACAGATTCCTCAAGCTTTTAGTCACGTATCATTGTCTGAAATGAAGTTTTACTTAGTTTTGATTCACTAGCATTTAAGCCAGACGTTTTTAAAAGAGCAGGTATCTAAGGCCATACTAAAAACTGTCACACAACTGCAAATTTAAATGGCCTGCATAACAGTGTAATGGCCTGCAAATACTACCAGGATGGAATTTTGCATACACTATGGGACACTTACATATTCCCTCAATCAACAGAATTGCCAGTGTCATAACCCGACTTCCCCACTACTTTGTGTAGACTTACATTGTTTCCTTTCTCTTGTAGCAGCTTCAGGTTCTCCTTACACTGTTGGAGCTCTTCTGTGAGCGACTGGTTTTCTTGCTCAAACTTCGCCTTCAGCTCTGAGAGCACAGTCTGTGTTCGTTCGTACTACAGACAAAGAGAAAAGAGTCTGCAGACCCTGGAGACCCAACACATGCTGACAGTTGCTTAGTGCACAGCTTCCCTTACCGTCATCTGCCCAGAGTAACCCTCCTTGCATCGGTACACTCTCTTTTCATAAAAGCAGGGTAGGAAAAAAACAACTTAGTTTAGACTTTCTTTTTCTCTAAATGAAGATTTTGTCCCTGACTTTGATGGGCTAGGATTTCTAAAACCAGGGCAATATAAAGCAAATGCAAGGTCTTAGTTAGACACCTCTCATACAAACCAATTCCTCTTCTCATATTGGAAAGGGCTGTACATTCTATGAAGACAAAGCAACAAACAGAAGAACTCAGAATCATTTATGTTTAAATAGTGGACTTACCTCTAGACTGTAATTTAAATAGCTACACCACATAGGTGCAAACCCCAACATTCTCTATGAAGTAAATTAATCCCTCTTCCCTCACAGCAGAATCAAGCATAAGATTTAGGCAGGCATTAAAAAACTATTGTGCCTCATTACTACCACGTCACAACCCTCAGCGTGTCAAATCAAACAAAAAACAGTTGGGGAATGTGCCTTGTTCCTACATTATGGACAATTTCTTCTTCTAACTCACACTCAATTTTTTCAATACATCACAAGCTTTCCAGCGTCCTCATGAGAAGGATAAGTAAGGACAGAACCAATGACTTTCAGGCATCTTTAAAGACACATGTGATTACAAAACCAGACTAACAAGACTGGGTTTTTCAAGTTCTGAAAACAGCAAGTAATATAACATGGACGGAATAATGACAAAACAAAGGACTGCAAAAGAAACCAAAAGCAGTGACTGGGGGAAACCTCACTCAAAATGCCCCTAAGAGAAAGCAAGTAATTGTTGGAGTCTATCGCCTTCTTCCAGACAATGTTTAGAGGCTCGGCAGATGAAACATGTGCTTCAAACGCCAGCTTTTCCTTAGGCACTTGCGAATCATCTTCAGCAGCCCAGGCATTCGGTAAGATCAAAGCAGACCTTTGTCAAGAATGTGCAGTCCCACTGTCAAATAGAAGAGCTTAAATCTAACTAAAAAGATCATACTGACTGAAAACAATTACTTTTGACTCGTAACAGCAAAGGAAACTCTATACACCACGATGTTCAGGACAACTCTGTACAAGGGTTCCCCTGGCTGAACAGTAAATTCACAGGCAAATTACTAGAAGTAAATTCACTAAAGATAATGCACAAAAGTAAACTTGACAAAGTTCCCAAAAGTCATTCACCGAAAATCTTCCCTTTTAGATTTAACGCCCTGTTTATATAGTTAGCAACCATAAAAGTACAAAGAAGTTCCATTACTAGAAATCTTTTCCTTCTCTTTTAGCTTAAAAGTCAAAATCACTGGGCATTGTACTCTCTCAAAACAGAAATTATGTTTCATGTTACCTCCTTCTGAATATCTTTTGCTTGATTTTCAGCTTCACTGAGTTGGCTTTTTAGACTAGCGGCATCCCGCTGATGTTTTTCTCTCAAAGATCCGATCTGATTTTCGAGTTCCTTTCGAGACGTTTCAAGAACACTTATATCGCTGGTTAGCGCTAAACTCTGTTTCTGAGAGCTGAAAGGAAAAAATCCAATTGATTCCTCACATGTTTTAAATTTCAAGAAATGAGATTTTTAAAAAAAAAACGTTCAATCCTCCAAAAACTTCAAACATGACTTATTTAATATGCAAATAGCAGCTTAGAGCAATCACCGAAGTACAGATCACGTCCCTACGCCAAGTACTGTCACAAAAGGCTGGCCATAGTCTTGCTTTTAAATGTATGTACACAGCTTAGTGTGTATAATTAATTACAATCTATAAGTAAAATAAACTAAATATTATGAATGATAACTTATTATTTTTCTCTATTATTTCCTAAGTATCTGTTAGATAGTCCAAGGTATTTTGAAACAGATTAGTAACAAGAAGTCTATCCAAGGCTACTAGAAGTATTTCACTCATTTGCAAACGTTTCTGCTTACTCCAGTTGCATAAGCTAGTAGCTAGCGCATATTCCCCAAGTGTTTAGTACAATCATGTAATTGCACAAATCAAGCTATTATGAGCTTCACCGCAGTAACCACGTGCTATTACTTTTTGCCTGCGCAACACCAAGAAAAATAAGAGAGAGATTTTGCATATTAAGAAATACAGGAAATACAACACTCCTGCACTCTCAGATCCCTCCCAGAAGATACTGTGGGACTTGCGGTAAAAAGAATATTGTTTCTGCACATCTTTACTATTTATAATGTCACAGGCCTTCAGGAGACACCAGCTGAGCATCATTTTTCAACCCTGAAGGCCGAGAAAATTTTAGGTTAGGAAATATATGTAGTTTACTATCTTTTAATTGCAAAGACAACTGTTAGGACTAAATACTTCGACAAGCAATAGCTTCCGAGTCCCTGTTAAAAGCAGCAAAACAGGTCACGTTACCTTCTAACGATAAACATGACAAGCAATACAGAAGCGTTTCCAAAACAGAATCAAAACCGAGCTTGGTATAACAATTTGACAGGAAAGCATTTTCAGCCCAGTAGTATGATAGAAATATAATTTCAATACATTTATTGAAACACCATCAGACACTTAGTACCACTTCTGGCAAAAAAAACCAAACCCCCTCTTCAGCCCTCACGACACCTTCCTAGACAAATCCATCGTGCCCTTACCTAGAAAGCTCCTTCTCTTGTCGCTGAAATTCAGATTTCAGCAAAGTGTTTTCTTTGCTTAGCGTAACACGTTCAGCTTCCAGAGCACTCCATTCTGCCTTCAACTTTTCAACTTCACCTGCAGCAAATAAAATTTAACTGAACTGAGTAAAATTAGTTCATGATTTCTTCAAGTATCACCAGCTAATAAACAGAGGAAAAGCTGGTATCCATCAAAAATCTCAAATATATTTGATTATAATCATGTCACATGAATTCTCTCACAAGCACCTATAAAGCATTACAATATCTTCTACTGTCATTAGGTTTATGAACCATAAAACAAGATATTGTTTTTGAAGTAAGCACTTAGTAAGGCACAAAGGAGTAGAAAATGGTCTGCTTTTGAGTCTACTCTAGTATTTTAGAAACAGTGACAGAAAAGTATATTTGAAGAAAATAATTCCCAGACTTCAATATAGCAAACAACTAAATCCCTCGGTACTGTGACTCTGCTACAAGGAACAGAATTGTTTAAAGCAATAACTACAGAGTGAAAAGGAGATTTCTGAAATAAATCTGTTCCTGGTAAAATAGATAAAAATCAATGTTATGCATGTCTTAGGAATAAAATGACACAGACTGGGGTCTGAGCTGGAAAACAGCTTCTCTGACAACTTCACAGAGATTAACTGATTCAGAATTTAAAGCATATTTTACATGTGCCAGTTTCTCTGTGGCATGTACAAAGTTTCAGTGTGAGCTTTTGAAAGCTTTTGGCACATTCTCCAAGAGCTGAAGCTATAGGCGTGGAGCAGTGGCTCCCAACCAGCCCTCATGAGGTGTGGGTGCATTACAGGTCAAGTGGAACAAAGGAGCCTAACAGCAGCCCCGCGCTGGGTCACCACAACATATTTGTACACCTCTACATCGTGTATCCAGAACAAAGCCTTAAAATTAAATTTTTAGTTTAAAAATGAGATGGTATCACTTAAGCCATGAAACACAGCTATTTTTCTCGGCGAAGCTTCGCTAGAAAAATTAAAGGGTCAGAAGCTACCCATTTAATGGGCTTAAAGTACACAGAAGTTACACAAATCCTTTTGCAAATCTGTGGCTGTACCAATCTCTCCAACAGGGTGAGATTTCCATCTTCTCCAAGTGGAACTATACTTGATCTATTCTTGATATCAAAGGGCACCTAAGCTAATTTAACAGATTTGACAACTAATATTTAGTGAAGTATACAAAACAGCTTTTGTAACACTCCAAGCTTTCATACACATGTGTAAGTACATAGATGCATGTATAGAGAGAGAGACATTGTAAAAGGCTACAGAGACACAGATACGTAGTGATGTGAACAGCTGACACGCATCACGCTGAGAAGGATGCTACTGGCACTTGTCTGTGACATCCTTCTAAACAAGTACCTTTTAAGCGAGTAGCCTCTTCCTTCTGCTGCTCCTCCCACTGCTGGTATCTGAGGTGAAAACTGGTTTGCAGACTGACAATTTCTTTTTCATAATCGGAGGCATCTTTCCGGCACCGTTCGAGTTCTGCTCGCACCGTTTGCAGCTCATCTTGCAATGCAGAAATAGCTGCATCTCGTTCTGACGCTGTCTTTTCTGCTACTTTTTGAAGTGACAGAATCTCATTTTGAGCTCTGACTAGCTCATTTCGAGTGCTTGAAATTTCATTCTCCTTTTCTTCACGAAGATTCTCAATATCTTCTTGTAACCCTCGCAACTGAGCTGGAAAGTATAGTTCAATGTTAGTATTTTTTTAAGGCTGTTCTTACAGAAAATTTAAAAAAACATAACTGCCTTTCTCAACTTGTTTAATAGGACTGAAGAATTCTAATGCAATGGAAGAATACAAACCTTTAGACACATGTACGTGGGATCACGTATTATCAAACAAGAATTATGTTTGGATACAGTTTTCTTAGGCAGGGTTGTGGTATGTGTGTGATACTAAAAGCAACTCTCCAAAATGTAAACCCAAGATTTAGATCCAGTTTTGTTGTAAGCAAAACAAGTATTACAAGACAAGGACACGGGAGGGGTTCAGGAACAAGAGGACAAGCAAGAAGGCTTCTGTGACAAGCCAAACACTTGCAAAGCTATATTGGAAACATTTGCCTGTTCAGCAGTTAACTTGTGACACCCGCATTTGCGACACACAGTCTAATTTCTACTCCAGTCTCAACATGTAGTAAAGGAAACAAAAATTACTACTCTGCAAAAAGCATTTTGCAAAGTGCTAAATGAATTTTGAATAGAAAGGTGCGGTTGAACTGAATATGTTGAACTATAGGAAGTCCCTCAGCACGTAAGAGTTTACTGTAAAAAACAACAAAATTGCAGTTAAAATCCTCAGTGATGGAAGCAGTGTTTAATTTGCTTAGCGCTTTTGTCTTGCTTTTTGAAGAAGACATATCTGTTCACATGTATTTCATTGATTTTAACATGGGGAAAAAACAATTACTAAATTAATGAAGAATTGCTCTGAGAAGTGCAAAGTTCCTAACATCACTTGAAAACCTAACATAAGACACTGCAGAGGATCGGAATTACACATTTAAAGCTGTATGTTCCAGAAGCAAAGAGCAAAATGAGGGCAGTGGATAGCACAGGGAAGACAACCTTCCTTTAGAAGCCCTGAACCTAACAAACCACTGTGCTAGGAAACCACATTTCTACACCACCAGAAAATAGGACTTGCTAACACAGCAGGTGCCTACTAACGAGCAAAGGAATGATACTTTCAAACCATATGTTCCTGGTATTTTCTTAGCAAGCCAAGTGAAATTCCTGCTCCTTGGTGTTCGAAAGAAATTCCCGCTTCTTAGTGTTTGAAAGAAATTTGGTTTTTACTTGCTGTCTGCATTGTTCATGAACAGCTCTCCCTTGAAACGCTCAGGTGTGAAAACAAGCATGGTATGATTGAAAATCTAACACATATCCAAGCATTTCTAAAGTTTGGGAGAGCTGCAGAAATAACTTACACAGAAAAACTACTACCAAGAATACTGGAACGGTTTCTGAAGCACTGGATACAATTTGAAAGGGCAATTGAAAAGTGAACTTCCATTACGTCTCTTATTTACGTAAGCCATTACCTCCTCTAAACTGAATCTTTTGCCTTTTTTTTTTTAATAAGCAATGACAAGGTACTTTAATTTCTTTGTTTTACCTATCTCTTTATCTAAAGAACTTGACATGTAGAGACAGGATCTCAGTTGTTTCTGTGGCACCTTCTAGTCCCCGTGACAATGTTTAAAGCCATGCAGCACTGGCTGGCCTAAAACAGTGACTCCATGAAAACATTTCAGGAAATACTACTGAAGTTGCTGGGATTTTTTTCTCCACTGCAGTTCGTGAAGGCTGCCTAGAAGGTTCCTGACTTTTCCCAAGGTGTGAGGTGTGTCACACCCTAAAAGTCTGAGAAGTAGCAAGTGTACAACGAACATCAGAACACTCTGGACTTCAACAGAGAGAGGAGGAAACATCAGTAAGACCTCACTTGAGGAGGGATCAGGAAAAAAAAAAGGTACTGAACTGGCAAGAGGCATCCTGCACTTAAGTTTAGCTCTGCCAAGCTTCTACTTGATACTACTCCTCGGAGAGAAAAAAGTTTTCTTTTTGCTGCATAGGAATAGCTACTGAATTATATTTCTAACTTTCGCTGCAGCATTTTTTACTTGGAGAATTTTCATTATTTGCAGGATAAGATTCAAAATTAAATTGCTCCTCTTGTCCTGAAGACAAGTACTCTTTAAGCTGCTCTTTCCTACAGGAGCAATGGCAGAAAACGTAATTATTCTTTGCTGACATTCCTATAAAAGAGACGTATTACATAAGCTTCTCAGTGTAAGTGGCGTAGGACAAGGATCACATTCCACAACAAACTTCTGCCCATAAGGGAATTTGCTAAAGCTGGTTTTATTTCCTAAGTGAGAACCAGCAGTCCATCTGTGCGTCTGCTCATCCGCCTTCCAACCGTTTTCGGGTGCAACTCAATTGATAGGCTGACAAAGATCCCAAGGTATGAAACTCCTACAAATTTTTTAACAATCAATGGCTGAGTAGACGTTCAAAGCAATGCTTGCTCTAAGGAAGTCCTAACGCAACCCTCACTGCTTTCCAGGCTAGTCAGCCTCTTCACCACCGAGCTCGCTCACGTGGACAGGCTGACGAACTAACGTGACACAGAAGTTAGGTAAAAACCGCAATTCCTTTCTGCTAGAATTATTTGGGGCTGATAAGGGCATGACTGGTCACGCTGTTTTCTCAGAAAGTATAGACAGCGCCTCTGTTGCTGAAATTTCACTGCATGCTCCAAGGTTGGATGTAGATCTGGATTAAAAATTGCTTTAAGAGGACCATGAGTGAAGAGACTGAGTAGCACAAAAAAGAATAAACCTTCTAAGAGCTCTGAAGATAAAACAGCCACAGGAAGAATCCCGGGATCAGTCAAAGCTGAGAAAGACTGAAGACAGAGGAAAGAGAAGAGGTATCTGTTACAGAGTACATCTTTTGCATTTCGATTATGATTATTTTGATTATGATTTTGGTTATGATTCGAACCATAGGAACTCACAGGACACATTTCACAATAAAATTCAAAGATATGGTGAAAGAAACCAGATTTAAAACATACATTTAACTAACAGTTTCCTTTGTAAGTGTTTACAATGCCACAGAAACAGTCAAAGCTAGGTATTTTAGCTAAGGAGTGGAGTGGAAAAAAAATCCTACCTTGCAGAACATCTTTTTGCTTGTTAGATTCTTCAAGTTGCACTCGAAATGCTTCCACCAGCGCTATAAATGAAAGTGAAAACGCGCCCAAAAAGTTTTTCAGTTGTAAGTATATCAGCTTTACCATTAATTTTAGTCACAACTTTTCCTTTAAGATCAAAATGTTCATGTTATTTCAGTAAGTTATCAAAGCTAGTAACTCTGCAAGTAGTTTAATAAAAAGTTAATATTACAAGACACCATTCCATTATTGTGGTAGTATTACATTAATGTCAAATTAATATAATCTGTTGCCTGAGCCAAAAACTCCATGTGTGCTAAATGCAGACTGGTGTGGGAGGAAAAAAGAAAAGCTCTAAATACACCCCATAAAGAAGACAGAACAATAAGCAATTAAACTGGACTATAAGATTTCCTGTCAGAAACAACCCACATTTTTTCTGAGGATAACGATACAGGTACCTGTCTGAGAGGATCATCTAAACAAAGAACTACAACTGAAGACATTATATCCTGTACATTATTTGAAATACAGATTAATTACTACCTGCACATGAATATATTTTATAAGGATCAGTTCAAGTGTGTACTCAATAGTATGAAAAGATGTTGTTTTATCCTCAACCGGCATGTCAGGGCTCAGTCAGACTATATATAGCGTTTAGAAACAAAGCAGAAGTTTGTGACATTCTGTGCAGGAGACATGAATGCTATGAAACAAATTTACCTAACAAAGAGTCAGAAAAACTGGACCCCTTTTAAAGACTACTTGATAAATATGATTTTAATGGATACCCTACACAACCACGTTGATCAGGGTCTCACCTTCATGGTCAAAGCATTTTTGTGTACTTGTCCTAGTTAGCTCTTGGGCTTCAATGAACAACTTGTCCAGCTCCTGAATCTCTTGCTTTGCCTCAGTCTCTGACTGTGCACCCTGCAGTTCATCTGATAAAAGAACATTTTCTTTAAATCATAAATTTGTACAACAGTTTAATTTGCACTGACACACGATGACTGGTGACCTTTCACCGAAATCACCCGAAGTTAGTTGAAGAAAACTCAACAGTGGATTAGGTAAATATCAGCAAAAATATTAATATACTTTTTAAAAGAGAAAAACATAGGCAGACTTTGAGACATTCATTATATATAAACATGCAGCACACCCCAAAAGCAACAGACACGAATTACAGATATTTTTTTTAAAATGCTGTATAGATTAGTGAAGATTCCTAGATCAACAAAAATGAAGGAGCGACAAGACAGTCCTGGACCGTATTTACAACCTGCCTACTTTTAAAAGGAAGCTACCGTGCCCTCGACCCCAGCGCCCCCTTACCCGAAAGGACCAGCACCCCCAGGCCACCCGCCACGCCCTGCCCCAGCACACGGACCAGCCCCGGGGGGCAGCATCCCAGCGCCCCGCCAGACCCGCTGCACTGAGGCTGCCTAAGGCCAGTCAGCTGCAAGGGATCTGCTACTACATAACAGCAGGGACCTGCTCTGACACGGGTGCTCCTGCCAACCCTCCGCTTGCTACGGCCTCCCCCTCGCCCGCTGTGGACTGGAGCTACAGGGAAATGGAAAATTGAGGGACATTTTCTAAAGCAAAATTTTAAAAAATAAAACTGAAGAAGAGCCCACCTTCCTCTGATTTCATTCACTGGCCTAGTGAATACTAAACTCACATTTGCCCTCACGCTTTTTTCACCATGCCTCAGAATATGAGGTATATCTTTAACGTTCTCAGATATCCACGCATGTTATTTAAACTCCAGATAGCAAAAACTCTTGCTCTCCTCCACACGTATGCATTAGCTGAAATGCCTGTTAAATACCTCTTGGGCCTATACAAGATGACTTGCAAATTAAATACTTCTAAAGCTGAAGTTTCAGGGGAATTTGAAAGGAGAAGTAAGCGTTTGTGATCAACAGCAGTGTCCCTTAACGGGCACCCAGTAGAAACGAGGCGCAGGAAAGAGGAGGGAAGACACCGCTGTAGCCTGCCGGCGTCTGCAACGCCAGGATACGCTCAGTCACTAAATTTTCCGTGTGTGGTGTCTGTGGAAACGTATTTCAACAGGCTCGAACAGCACCAATAAAGTGTACAGGGCGAGAGCTGAAACTTCACAAAAAGCCTGTCAGCTGAGAACGGTGAAGGAGGGACATGAGCCACAGAAGCGTAGCTCTGCTTCACGGCAGAGAGCACAAAAAGGCAGATGTGGTACACAGCTAACTGCTTAACATACGACTAATGCTACACACAGAGAGATTTAAGATAAAGGCACGCTGCTTAGACCAAGAACTCCAAGAGACAAATCGCTATGTTTGCCTGGTCCTCTCAATAACAGAAAAAAAAGAAGCCATAGTTCATCATTATCCTTTTGACACTCCTATTTGACCGTATCTCACCCATAAAGCAGCTATATTTTTTTTTGCTGTCTTCATTAAAAATACTGTTTATCAAATCATGCTAAACTATTCATGGTGGTATCCCTCTAAGAAAAAAGGCTATGTTTTTCCTATTCTCACAGTAATGAATTGGTGGGATTGAGCAGAGCTGAGGACACACATGTGCTTTTACACTTTTGCAGAACAAAATTATGAGAGCAGAAAGGACAAAGAGGACTGCATATTTCATCCAAATACTTTCTTCTATAGTTTATTAGAGTTACAAATCCAAGTTACTCTTTACTGAACATGTTTTGTTCTTAGCCCCTCATGGATAAAGACCTGGGGCAATTAGACTTTCAACCCTCCTTAATGAGACTGTTCAGAAGAAATAGATGGGGAAGTGGGTAAATTATGCTCAAATCATGCCTGATAAAGAAGCAGTGTCCCAAATCCAACAACAGACACCCTAAATGAACTTTCTGGTGGACATGATTTTCCAATCAACGAAAGCACACATCATAAAAGATAATACTGCTTCAAAGAAGATAAGAAGCTCAACTTGCAGGACAACATAATCGGTTTAGCAAAGGCACAGTCAAGGTAGAAACTCTTTCTTACTCAAATGCAAAAGGGGAATTTCCATATGGCTGACGGACTTCTAAATCAAACCCCATGAAATATAAACTCAAGAAAATCACAGCTTTTCAGTTATATCTGACACACTAAACATGTCTTTGTCGTCTTCTAGTTCAAAGCAAATATTTTTCTGCTAACTCTAGTTTTCAAAGCTCCTAGGTAAGATCACTCTATTTATAAATAACGAAACAACTAAATATAATCAGGTTTAGAATTAGTTGTCCTCAAAAGCAAATTCACATTAAAAAAAAGTTTGACAACCAACTTTTAAAGGCTGTAATTACAAAAACAGTGTTTGAGCAATTCTCAGAAGTATTCAGCACTGGACTAACTGTTCTCAGACAAGTCTAAGGACTTTTATCATTAATTACAACAAGGTGCCAGGGGAAAAAAAAGTCAAATACAAAAGCTTGAAAATCCCCATCCATTTATTTTAGCTCATGGAAAATTTTAATCTGTGATCAGATTGTTTGCCATGTTACAAGAGATGTTCTTAATTAGCACCACTTTGTTTCCCACAAGCACACAACGAGGTTGCCCTTAACATCAACTCTACTGGTAGAATTGAAGCTGTTACAAAAATTAATGTGGTCTGTAATAAATCATTCCCAAAGCACAAGAAAATTTCTTCTCCTTCGACCTGGCTCAAGAAAAGGAGTCAAGTCCTTGGGCCAGTTTTGGGGAAAAATGACTATTTCCAAATCACTACAGAATATGACGGTGTGCAATGGAATATTCTGCAAGTTTAGGATCTATAAATTAAGTTTCAATAAAACAAAAAAAAACACCAAAGCTCAGAATAATATTTATGAACATAAAGATATTAACAGAACTCTGCTTCTATGGTTTGCCTTCACACTTGTATTTTTCTAAGTGCGATGACATAGATCCTCACGGAGGCTGTGGTCATAATTGATCCCTTCTCTGCATGTGCCTGGGAGCAGAACATCTCCCTTCTGAGGAAAGGTTGAGGGAGCTGGGTCCCTTTAGCTTGGAGGAGACTGAGGAGTGACCTCATCAATGTTTATAAATATGCGAAGGGCAAATGTGAGGAGGACAGAGCCAGGCTCTTTTCAGTCATGTCCAATGACAGGACAAGGGGCAATGGGTGCAGGCTGGAGCACAGGAGGTTCCACGCAAATATTAGGAAAAACTTTTTTTCACTGTGAGGGTGACAGAGCCCTGACACAGGCTGCCCAGGGGCTTGTGGAGTCTCCTTCTCTGGAGACATTCAGAACCCGCCTGGACGCGTTCCTGTGTGACCTACTCTGGGTGATCCTGCTCTGGCAGGAGGGTTGGACGAGACGATCTTTCGAGGTCCCTTCCACCCTCTGCCATTCTGTGATTCTGTGAAAATAAACCATCTAGCTACTGCAACATAAAACAATGGTTCCCAAACTTTCTGAATCAACACACCATTGCTAATTTTCAAAACTCCTGACGTAAACTGTCACTATTCAAACCCTCAACTGAAAACAATTAAGATTCCATGTATCAGTCTTGTACTTAGCATGAAAATACAAGGCAGTTGATAAGAACAAGATTACTAACTTCCAACGACTTCTTTCCACCTGTTTAATATTAACCTGTTTCTTACTTTGCAATAAATAGTCCCAAACAGCCTATCTAAACAGAAGTGTCCAGGGAACTGTTAGTAATGGCTAATAAAGTCATTTACCTTGGTGGAGGGGGAAAGCAGCTGTACGAATCTGTGACAGCTTTCCCCCTTCCCTTCTTTGCCAGATTCTGACTTGTAGAAAGTTGAAACCAGTCCTGAATGTACTCAAAATTTATTGATGGAAGATACACTCGGAGGAAACTACAGCAATTAAAAGTCTCATAATTTTCTTGTTCCATTAATTTGTTTTCTAAATTCCAACAGTTAAACAAAAAAGGAACGCTGCCTTGTCCCGCAGCAGCCGTTTCCGCATTCCAAACAGCTGCCAGATGAGAAATGTTCTCACTCTGCCTTAATTAAACGTCTCCATAACAAGCCCACTTGAAAGTCTTTCTGTGGCAAATAAGATCCTTTTTAGGGCAAAGGCAGGCGTATGAAGTAGCTCTCTGACAAAACCCCAAACAAAACTGTGGGTTTGTAGGCTCTTCCCAAAAATTACTTCGGGCAAATCATTCATTGTACAGATACTTCTTAAATGGTTTCATGAGAGAAAAATAGGAATGCCCCTAAATAGCCCCAAGAGAAAGAGTTATTCCAGTTTTTTAGTTAATCATAATACGCAACTCAACAGCAAAATGGCCTATGCAAACAGGTGGGGTTTTCCTCCTTACTTAAAAGTTCAGAAGTGGCTACTCAGTTGCAGATTTAAACCTTAAAGACAGAGGAAGCAACGAAAGCATTCACATGAGCAAAAGGCTGCTTCCATATAAAACTTGATTTTAGAGTTCAGTTTAATCTACCCCGGACAGAAAACGTGTAGTGACGTGTGACCCTTGCCGTGACACACAAGTGTCCTAACCCAGGCAGCAGCATGCCCACAGCAGCCTCCCCTCGGTCCTGGGCTGCTAAATGAACCTTCCTCACAGAACTGGGCAAGACTTCCCTTGTATATAAGGAGAAGTCGGGCATCAGTGGTTTTTCAGCCTGAGGGGTCCATGGACTACTTTTAACATGCCTGCAGAAGATAACTAAGAAATCCAGCCAGTTACAAGTAGTCCTCAGCTGACTATCTTAAAACTAAGGATTATAATTCAAATTATTTTGACATGAGCTGAATTCAGCTTCTCTATTGTACTGTGTACACACACAGAGGATTGTTCCAGCTGTGAGTCTGCGCATGGGACAATGCTCACAGGAAATACATGTATCACGTTCTGGACTTAAAAATTCTAATACTTAACAAACATCATGCTTTCCAACCTTTTTTTTCTTTTCCCCCCAAATACAACTTGCTGCCAAACCCAAATTTATTACCAGAAATAAGACTATCAGTCTCTACAAACATTACCAGACTCTACCTTCTAACATGGGAATCACTGAATACACTTGGGAATTGCTGACAGCAGAGTAAAATCCAAATGGAATATGCTCATTACTTCTTACATTCCTTTTTAAACTGCTTTGCTGACTATATCCACTACAAAATATCAAACCTGATTTTACTTTGGCTGTTTGGAAACATATGCAATACGTGCAATTTTTTAAAGTCCTGTCACAAAGTTAGAGAACTGTAAACAATTACAGAAAAAGCTCTTTTACAGGTCTCCCGAATTCATTATTGTTTCCTGTCTTTTGAAACCATGAAGAACTGTGACATTCTTTTTACTCGTGATACCAACATAAGCATCATTTTACACACCTTATCAAACGTCTAACTGTACAAAAAGCATAAAATTAATTTCACTAGTTAGCATCCCACAAAGATTTTCAGTTCATGAATATATGAATATTAGCTTGCTAATCAAGTTTTAAGTACATGCCTTTGGTGCAAAGAGCAGTTAAAATATTTGTAGCTATGAATCTCCAATGTAAGGCTCAGTAATCATCCTAAATACAGTTACAACAGGAAATTCCAATCTTGACTGTGTTAGCCAGAAAGAGACTCTAGATTTTCTTTTTAAGCCACAGGTGCAAACTAACAAAAGCATTTCTGACCATGATAGAAACTATATGAATAAAATTTGTCAATGCTTAAAACGTGTCTATAATGGAAGAATCTTTCTTCCTTCACAGCTACTGGCCCTAACTTAACCATATGTTGAAACCATGTCTCAACTCTACTTGAAAATCTAGCACGCAAATTTCTACAACAGTGTTGGTGAGTGCAGAAGCCAGCTTCACACATAAATTATTTATATATTAATACTCAAAGTAGGCTTTTCTATTATATCACACACAAGAATTGCTCTTGTATTTAAATGCAACTCTTCTTACCACCATGATTAAAACATCTGAATTTCAGCACTCTACTTCAATGTACATTTGATTAAAAAAAAAGGTAGACAAAATACATATACACAGATTATGCATCCAAAGTTACTAAAAAAATTATTTACCTTTTAGAAGGGCTACTTTAGCAATAGGTTCATTTAGATCCTGGTCATCCATTTGGGCATCTGAAAAAACAACCAAAACAAACCAAAACTAAAAGCAAACCACTCCCTTTCAGAGAGCAGGCAGACTGCAGACAGTTTTATACGTAATCTTTAAGCAAAGAGTTGATGTGTTCTTCTCACATTACAATAGTTAACTGTGATGTCGCAAAAGAGGCAATACTGCTCTAAGCTTGTATTTGGCTTTGATTAACACACACCCCCTCCACTACTTCAGAAAATACTAAGTAGTTAAGTGATTGAATTAAAACTAATCAGATGTTACAGAAACCTCAGTTAAATGCTTACCTGTAGTGTCGTCACTGCTTTTTTCCTTGCTTGGGCTAAGAGTGTCTGACAAATCCGATTCTTTGACTCTTGCTTGATTCTCTGTAAGAGACAAGGAAAAATCAATTACAGTCTGTAAATGCTTCCTTCAGTCTTGCAATTATAATTTCTTCTATACATTTATTTAACTATTGCTAAATGTAAATAGAAAGCTTAGTTGAAGAAACACTTTAAAAATCTGGTGGTTGCTTATTTCTTTGTAAGTCTAGGCTACAACAAACTCAGCATCACTGAAGTCACTAATCTAGCCCAGCATCTAACAGAGGATGCAACTGCCTCACACACAGTTTGAACTTTCGTTAAAGCTGTATTCTTGCCAGCTGGAATACTGTGCAAAAGCTGATTCAGTCAGAGAACAAATAAGAAAAGAAAACTACAACAATGCAGATACTGTAACAAGTCAGAAAGAAATTGCTGTTAAGAATAAAACTGCACTTCAGTATTTCGGACAAATAAAACAATAGCAACACATCTTGTATACACTGCAATGTTAAAAAGGGCGTTCTGAAGCAGTAAAAAAAAAATCAGAACAATATAGATTAATACGGGAATTTCTAGAAAAAGCTGTCAGTTCAAATTGCATTAAGAGAAGGCAGTCTATGTCCTTTCCTCCAAAAAAGGAAACACCTGTTCATATACACAGTTCTAGATTTTTAATGGAGACCAGACACTTTCAGAAGGTGAAAGGACTGAATTACACTAGTGCATCCTTTTCCCACGCAGAATTATCCCTGACTCAAGAGTCTAAATAATTTATGAGACTTTAATACTTATTTTTTTAATTTTTAAATTATCATTCCAGTTTAGTTCTGCTGGTCCGTTAAAGCAAAGCACATTATCTCTGGTGGGAGTAAACCCCATCAGTCAACCAAGGTGACACCAACATGCAGGTGACGTTACACATAAAGTCCTTCTTGCCTGTTCAGAGCCTTGGTTTGACAGCATCACTGCCCACCCACAGATTATTATATTAAAGGTTTCTTCTGAGTCTCCAATTCCAGGTAGATAAACAGAGAGATATAAAAAGGCATAATTACAACATTCCAGTATAAAGACTTTACTTCTACCATATTCTACCATTTACATGCTCTGTTGCTACACCTGTGCACTTCCTTGTAGCTTCTCTGTGCACACCACTAACCAAATAGCGAGAGGAGAAGAGACAGAAGGTGGGAAAAAAATAACAAACAAAAAAACCTGAAGAATTGTGAGAAAAAAAAAGCATCATTACAACATACTCTACCATGCATGCAAAAAAGCACAGTGAACGTAAATAATTCCTTCACATATAGATACTGCAGATGCAACAAAAAAATACCAGGACAAAGGAAGAAAGATGCACAGCAAAAGAGTGTGTTATACCAGTAAGGTTAGTATATGAAAATATTTTAAAAACTAAGGAGTAGTGACAAGACTTATGTGCATTTTTTTTTTTTCAAATAACAAGAGAACAAACAGAACACCCCCAAAATGAAAAATGGAAGCTGAAGACAACCCCTGCACCTACATGGGGAAATTAGCAAGATGACAACACACAGACAGGTTAATAAGAAAGTTTTCTTGATCTAACATGAAACGTTTTCTATTTGTGTGCCAGAATAACATCCACTGGTATACATGAACAAGAAAGCAAGAACAAACAAAGCAGCGAATCAAGAGCCAGATTATTTCTAGTCTAATGCAACTGGAATCACTGGAGAGGAATAAGGGGCGGACACTTAAAGCACATTAGGGGTTCAGACCTGGCAGCTATTCCAAACATCTCTCTCATGACTTCAGCAGGCTTCAACACTCACAGTGACTCGAGTAGTTAAAAACTTCATGTCTGGGGGTAGTTCTTTGCTAAAACAAAGTGGGTACTTCCCTATTTTTAGGAATAAGATTTTTAACTAAAGATAGAATCACAGAATCATTGAGGTTGGACAGAACCTTGAAGATCGAGTCCAGCCACTGGATGTTATGATACAAAGCTATCTCTTCAGCAAAGAACTTCAGCATTAATACACAAGTCCCTGTGCCCAGAGCAACCCGAAGCTGGTGCAACCGGCGTTCTTCACCTGGCGGCTGACGTATTTCCTAGCTTACAAACCAAGCCACCATTCTCGGGGTTTTAAGAACACTGGCAATAAGAACGCATCATTTAAGAACACTGGCATTAGTGTATTTCAAAGCCAACAAAAAATAGCTCATTCCAGCATTCGTGTGTATATTTAGACAATAAATAGAAAATTGGATGCTGATGTTGCTGAACCACATCGAATCATACTTGCTCGATGAGTTAGGATGTATTAACAAACGCTAAGAATAGCTCACTGCTTGGCAAGATAACCAGCATGCAAGTGTTACATTACAGTTATTGTATGCATTCTTTTGCCAAATATGGCATGTTGTCTATAGCTTACTCACATACAGAAACAATTTAAAGGTGCAGTCTCCTACATTATGGTAAGAGAAGACCAACTGAAAAGTCTCTAAAATACCACAACTTTCAACAAGTTAACATTTATTCAATATAGTAACACTTTGCAGAAGGACAGGGAGTAAAGAAATGAGTTAACGAGCCTCGACATTAATAAAAAGCTACAAAAGTGGAGTCTGCCTTCAAGTCCAAACAATGTTACATTATTAGACACATAGGAGATATGAATCTACACACTTTGTAGTGTTCCTGCTTTTAGCACTGCAAGATAAGGATGACTGTTCCTGGATAAGACAATTTTTTTTCCTAATTAGCTCCTCATATTATCCTTCTTTTATAGAGAAAAGAGTTAGAGACGCACAGATATATTTTACTAAGGAAAGGCATATTTAGGAGGTTAATTGTTACAGTAAAGTTATGAGGGTGCAAGTTAGAAAAAAGTCAAATTAAAAAACTCTATTGAAAACATAAATGAGACAAAACATTATTTCTACTTAGTCCTATAACAAAAGCAAAAAACTATATGAAATTCATGCAGGCACTAAAAACATAAATCCATTCACTTTTTTTTTTTTTTAATGCACATTCAGTTACAAACTCAGTCAAAAACTGAGACTAGCACTTCACACCCTCAACCTTCAAAAATTGATTTCTCTTAGATCTTTTTACCCTGCAATAGTACTTGGAGCAGAGTTCAGTAAACAATATACCTCCCCTTTGGTTTTTCTTTCTTGAGTGAGTATCCAACAAAACTCAAACTGCTAGTTTAAGACAGAACATGCACTGAAATGACATAAAAACATGCTTCAAAAACAGTTAAGCAATCCAGAAGTCTAACCTTTTAAAAGCTTTGTTTCTTCCACTTTGGTTAGATGTCCTTCATCTATGATCTTGTCTGCCAAACAAAGTAACTGTTACTTTCCAAGCTCAAACTAAGCAAGCTTTTCCCTGCACACATCTACGCAGACTACATTCCATGACCAAATTAAAAGCTGATAATATTACTTCCTACTCAGACTTGAACAAAAACTTTATTCTAGCATGGAATAATGAAACAGAGCACACAAGCCTACTGGAACTTTGTGATAAAGTGCATAATTGTTTCTTCTCAATTTACTAGCTTACATTATTAATGCTTCAGTTCACTAATGAGAAGTTAGGAAAATTTTTATGAGCTCTTTTTAAAATCTAACTGGGAAAAATAAATAATTAATACACTTCTCATGTTACAGTTTTTAAAAAAGGATTTCTAAGAGTTGGTTGCCTGAAGTAGATGCCACCCGATACAGCAGTAATCTAGAAATTCACCACAGTCAAAGAGAAATTCAGAAGGCACCTCCATATCACAACTGCTTTAACGGTGTCTGTTAAAAAGTCACAGAAACAGCCTTTCCTAGCTTAGAAATTCCAGAGAGCTGCACAAAATTCAAGAAATGGTGCATGCATCACATTCAAATTCACATAAACTGAGTTTACATATAGCATTGATAGAGAAACTTCGTGTATGTCAGGACATGAAGGCAAACCAGAAACCCAAGGGAAGAACAGAGTGGGACTAATCAGACACTAAAAGAATTGTTGAACCAATAATCCATTTCTTTGTCAGAGGAGATTTCATTATTTCAAACTCCTTGAGAACCAGCTATGGATGCTAACATGCAACGTTATCAAGGGTCACGTATCTTACAGATCTGTGCAGCAGATCTTGCAATTTAAACCACGTTGAAAGCTGTTAACATCCACCAAAACACCAGGCTCAAAGCTGCCTCTGCTCCGCGCTCTCCCTGCCTGACCCCCGACAACCAGGGACAGAACTGAGCTTCCTGGTTACCCCGTGTGCTGTCAACACGGAACTGAGATGCAGAGAAGACTGGATGAACTGCACATACAGGAGAGATCAGATTAAGGAAGCTGGATGACAGTAAATCCTTTTCAATAGTCAATTAAAAACAAAAAAACAGTGAGCTTTTGTCAGCATTTCCAGCTTCAAGTAATTCTGAAGCTTAAGAAGTCTCTTATGCTCCTCTGAGGGTTGCTGTAACCATGACAATTTAAAGGACAGGGGCAGGACAAGATTCGAAGGGAGAGAGCTTTTTCAATCATAAACAGCAGACGAGTTCTCAGAGAATAAAAAAACAAAACCAAAACCCCCAACAAATTCTGAGGTCTGAAGAAGGGTTTGCATGATCAAAAGCTTGGTCTGCTCCCCTCTCTCTCCCACAGGCAGACCAACCAGTCTAAAAGAGACATCCTCTCCATCCACTTTCATCAACAAATACTGTCATGCATTCCTGTCACATCTGACAAATACTGCTCCAGAAATAGCCTGAACAGCGCATTGGATTTTCAGGATTAGCTTCAGGTCTCAAGCAACTGCAGGAGATCACTCATCATCCAAGTCCAGGACAGCCTCGAGTTGGTCAGAGCGCGCTGCCTGTGCCCGGCCTGGGGAAGGCACCGCGCAGGGAATCGAGTTACTGCAGCCACATGCAAAGAGTTACTGAGCCGTACCATGAGTCCTCTGCCATTTAAAAATAAAATAAATAAAATCTAATCAAAAGTCTTCATACGGGATTATTCCAGGAAGAAATGCAACAAGAAAGCGGCTGAAGAATTGTGCCCATGTCTGAAAAACTCAGCTGAATGCAAAACCCACAGACTCCACGTAGCTATCAACTGCTTGATCTGAAGAGCTCGTCTAGGCTGGACTGTTGGGTTAAAAGAGGCTTCTATAATCAGCTTACAGAAGAAAACGTATCATTATAAACTGATGGATCTTGGATTCTTCACAACTCAGTAACTGTTAAAAGCAGAATAATTACAGTGCAAAACAAAGAAACCAGTCTTCTTGACTCAAATGTGTTTCCAAACCTTTGCAGCAGCTCTTTATGCTTTGTCAGTTTCTATGACTAAAAATACCTCCAGACTTCAAACACTTTTTTTTTCTTTTCCATGGTGGCTTACTGCTTTCTAAAGTTCATTATGAATTTCAACATCCCTACAAAAGTTTTCTTCTCGGTGCTATCTCTTCAGCAAAGAACTTCAGCATTAATACACAAGTCCCTGTGCCCAGAGCAACCCGAAGCTGGTGCAACCGGCGTTCTTCACCTGGCGGCTGACGTATTTCCTAGCTTACAAACCATCTTTCATGCTATCCAGTCCCTACTTAACAGAAAGCAAAGATTTAATGATACACATTATAAATAATAATTTCTACTGAAAGAATTAGGTTTAAAGATGCCTTCAATCTATCTTTAAGATAGTTCATGTCTCTCTTGGCTGATGAATGCAGTTCAAAGGCAGCTTTCCTGTAGGTTTTCAGACATTTCTTATCTTTTCAATTGAAGAACTCCCTTTCAGATTTAGGTTGCCTACCACTATATGTAATGTGATAGTTAAGATCTGTTACTATTACAATGATTTACTTAAGTAAAAGGCCCTCAATACATTCATGGGTTTTTATCAGATTTGTCTTTGAAGGTGGGCAGTTTTGAAGATCAATGAAAGGAAACACAAATTTCAAACCATCTAAAAAAAGCAGGACGATGCAAGCCTTTTGCAGGTCATAAATTCACGGAAAAGTTGAAAATAGCCTTTCAGTCCATCCAGCTACTCCATTTTAGATATATTAGTTTATTTTTTTAAAAAGAAAAAAAAACTAGTAAAAAAGCAAATAATCGAATTTTATTTAAAATAATAAATGCAAAAATCACAAAATGGAGAAAAATTACGGACACAAAGATGACTTGTACTGAAGGGAAAGATAAGTTGCTAACAGGGCACCAAATCTCTCTTGTCTAAACATCATCACCATTTTTTATAATAACTCTTAGTGTACCAATCAAAAAGAAGCATTTGTGACTTTTGCTGTTGATGTTGCTGGTTTTCACCAGTGGTTACTGAAAAAAAAAGTAACAATGAGCAACAAGCGAACTGGATGTAATGATCAGAAAGAAACAGACTTCCCAGATCATTCAGAGCAACATTTCATAACATTCTACACATGTTGTAGATGAGGACAGGTTGCTGGATGATATCACAAGCCATATTCAGCTTAAAACATTGAAAAGAAAAAATAACTTCAGAAACCTACAGCAGCTGGTTTTTACAAATATCACCAGCCGAGTTTAGGATTCAAGCTCCACTGCAGCTCAGATTTTAGTGTCCTGTGTTTCTCTCCCTCCAAAAAAATTCTAGCTTTAATACCTTGAGAGGTCTTGATTGCTCTCAGCTAATAAGCATCTTCAACTGCCTTACAGCAACTGTTTTTAGCCAATACTAGAACGTATAATCATCTTGTTTTCCTTCTTGCACTATCTTAGATACTCCTGACTGAAGCTAGTGCTTTCCCACTTCCATAGAATCCTAGAACGTGCTGGGCTGGAAAGGACCTTGCAGGCTCAGCTACTCCGACGCCCCGCAGGGAGCGGGGACATCTTTAACAGATCGGGTTGCCCCGAGCTCCCTCAAGCCTGACCTCGAACGACTCCAGGGACAGAGCCTCCACCACCGCTCTGGGCACCCTGTGCCAGCATTTCACCACCCTCACAGTGAAGAACTTTTTCTTGATACCTCACCTAAATGTAGTCTGCTCCAGTTTAAAACCGTTGCCCCATTTTCTGTCGCTTCACCCTGTGCTTCTTCCCCAGAACCACGGAGATGGGCAATTTCCCAGCTGCACCAGCACAAGTCAGAACCTTCTCTTCTAGACAGATGGTACGATCGCCTCAATCTTCCTTTCTTTTTAAGATTTCTCTGTGGTTTGCAGATCTTATAGCTTAATTCCTCTGCTTCTATCACAAAACAGCAAACCCTACCTAACTTCGAGAAGCAACTTCTATTTCTAGACTAGGGGAGGCAGAAGTATATCAATCTCTGTTTTACTTTCTTATTCCTACATCAACATCAGTTGCATGTTAGAATCTTTGATGGTCACTTTGGCTCCTCAGTAATGACAGGATTGGTCACAGCTAATTCCCAGTGGTGATACTAATAGAAGTTTTGCTAAAATAGGTTAAGCAAACATCCAAACACTGAAAACAAGCAACCAATTTGTACTGAACATCATTCAGTGTGCTCTTCATTTTCGCTCTAGACAAAAAAGATAATTTTACTTCAGTTCATTTTTATGCACTGAATAAAGAGGACTCACACAAGATCCTCACAAACTTTAAAATTATTTTACATTTCAGCCTGACAGAAGGCAGAGCCATTCACTTTTGAGAATAAACATTTTTCAAATAAAGTTTAATTTTTCTTAGACAAACACTAGCAGTATCCTGTCATGCAGTTCACAGCACTGCAATCCATATCACAAGGCATAAGGTCCAACACGTCTGTTACATTTGCGTACTGAAATTTAAAAGGGAAGAGTCCAATGGGCATAATGTCAAAAAAAAAAGATACTTATTTCTGCTTATAAATAATTTCTCTCTGCTCAACTTTAGGTACATAATTCCTTAAATGAAGAAATAATTCTTTATGTGCAAAGAAATTTTCTTTGAAGTTTAATAGCATTTTTCTCTCATCTCAGTGATTTTTTTCCAGCTTAAGTTTTATTTGAATTACAGATGTGCAGACTGTGCTGTTTCATCACTCATTTTCAAAAATCATTTGTTCTGAAAGATATGTTTCTCATTCCAGAGTAATGTATCTTCTTAAAAACTAGCATTGCATACTCATGATCTATTTTTCTTAAGAGAATCTCTTAAATTTCCACATAAAAATTACAGTTTCATTTCCCTTTTTGTTCTTTGTAATGACTAACTGGAAGAATGTTTAAGGTCTTTAATTATCCGATAAATTGCATATATGTGAGATGAAGAAAAGGCATCATTACATGTTCTACTGCTTCCTGTAATGTTTGCTTAAACGGACAGTGTTAGGCTTTCAACTTTTTGATTTGTAACAGGTGAAAAATAACACTCAGTTTTTAAGCATGATGTGGCAACATTATCACCCTTTTATTGTTTAGAGGACAATAAAAGATTAACTGCTCAGAAGAGATAATGTGATCATTGCTTTTTCAAGAGCAAAGCTATCCTCTTTCTGCTGCTACAGGCACCTGCTTAGTACCACAATGCCACAGTTCCACACTCAGAAAATTTCTCCTACTACAGAAATACGAAACAGTAGTGATAAATTTTCTGGGGTTTCTGTTGTTTTCAAAGCAAATGTGATGAACACTATTGTACTCACTCTGACATTCTATGAAATGATGAATAAAAGTGCAGTCCCCTCCACTCTTTGAAAGAAAGTGCTCTAGTAAAAAAAGAAACACTCAAGTTTACATCTTCTTATCATTTTCATATTGATGCAACAAAAAATTTGAAAGGTATATCAACAATATTTGGCACTGTGTATTTACAGTGAAATTTTGAAACCTGCTTTAATATGCAAGCAGACAAGACATATCTGGAATGACGTCTCAGTGATATTAGAAAACTCATTATGCTTTTGAACTGATCAGAAGGAAGTATTTGAACTGCATTTCCAAAGGGCACTTTTAAGTATTAAAACCTATTAGCAGTTCTTAACATAATAAACAGCTCTTCACCTCAATAGAAGCTTTTTAAAAAACAAAACCAAAACAACTTCAACAAAATTTAGTAAGAATCAATTATTACCGGACCAAGCATTCTGTATTTGACATTTGCTGTATTGCTCTTTCAGGGTAGGTGGTGACAAATGATTTCCACTAAACATCCACTGACAACTTCACATTTTTGGCACACAGATTAACAAACATGGGTGATACTTAAATCACAATAAATTTAGAATACATAAGATGATGCACTACTGAAATATGCAACTCCATAGCCCTGATTCCTCTAGTTCCTCCCATTTGTTAATTCACAATCACACATGGGTAACTGCAAATAGCAAAACCAAGTGTTGAAGAAAAAAGAAACCTGTATTTAACTTATATTCTTTAGCAATTTTTATTAGCTTTAAAAGGGCATTTAAGAAGTTTTCCTTAGGCTTCATGTTTATCCTTCCTGTCTAATACTCTCCTGAAATGAAAAACATTTATTCTAAAAGTGCTGCTGCTTGTTTTTAAACAAAGTTTCACTGCACAGCAACAACAATTTCTGAAGAGACAGTTCTAGAATGGAGAACCTAAAAAATGGGCTCAATTCCCAGGTTTACCCAAGTCCTTCTACATGACCTCAGTTCAGCTCCCTACTCCACCAGAACACTGCATCACTGCAAGTAAAAAGGTGCTAATGCTTCCTTTGTCAAGAATCTCAAAACCCCTTTGACTTCAAGAGCCTAGCAACCTGATAAGGCTGCTTTTCAGTACCCGTCTACTGACATTTATTTTCCATATTTAAACTTTTTTTTTTTAAGGCATTTTACTTGCTCTCCTAAGTGACTGTACAGATTTCTTGTATCTATCTTTATACAACACATGGCTCACAAATACGAAAGCCAGATGTGGTGCAACTCACGGAGACACGTGCCACTTACCGAAATAACTCGGTTCGACGTGACCTTTCTCAGCGCCTTGATGCATACGCAAGTTACTGTCTTCTGCACCAAAATTTCCATATGCGCGGTGAGAGAAAAGGAGAGCCTAACCATCGGCATCTTAATAGGCTCTGTTATAAAAAGCCTCTTGAGAGTCTATAACCTGAGTTCCTAGTTGCTCTGCTCAGAAGTACAGCTCCTGGAATGTTATGGACAGCCACAGAAAAAAAGTAATGTCTCATCCTTACTCTTGCGATGGCTAGGTAGTACACCTCTAAACATACCTTGAGGACTTGACCTGAAGTTTCGAGAGATAGAGAGACCAGAAGAATCTTAAAAGCCTACGTATTTCACATGGGTTTACCACTTCCCTCTGATGGTGGGGGGAAAAAAGACACGTGTATCTTTGTAGCCAGATAGAGGAAAAGGTTTTTTTATTCCCTTACAAGCTATTTAGTACACACAAAAATCTGACTTCTGCCTTCAGTTGTGAAGGCAAAATATCTACCACCTCTTTCACTGTCACAGTTGCTGAGTCTCCATCATAAACCCTAAATTATTGGCTCTTCTAAAATAAGCAAGTCTACTCACAGGAGAAAAAAAATAAAATAAAAAAGTAACTGCCTCCTGCCGCTTTCAAGAGAACAAAATCCAAAATCTGGCAGATAAAACGACTGCCCATCTGTTGTTATGTGAGGACTGGAGAAAAGGACAGGACGATACAGAAAGGCACAGACTGTCACAAAGAGAACACAGGCCAGCAAGCTGTGAAGCGCCAGAGAAATGTGGATGGACCAGGTGTAGCAGAGATGCAGAAGAAGGTGGTACAGCTGAGTAATGAAAAAACTACACTAAAATATAGAATGATAAAATAGCATGGTAGGTACATGACAGAAGAAGGTGATAGACTGTATAAACAGACAACTTGAAAGAGAAGTTATATGTTGTCTGTGTTTGTAAAGGAAATGGCAGGCAGCTTCTAGGTTTAAGCACAAGTTGTATTGTTACTCATTGGATGGAGGAAGTTGTATTTCCATGTATCCATCCAGACCATACTTGGACTCTGATGCAAAAGTCAAAAAAAACAGTCAAAAAGGGATTGCTTCTTTAACTGTAACAAAAAGGTATCCGTGATACAATATTTGTTATAAAGACATAATAATGAATTCAAATTTTGAAACATTTCAGACAATTTTTAAACTCAGAATGATAAAAGGTAGTATTAAAAAAAACTAACATGACATTCTTACTAACAATTTTAAAACAAAGTGCTTATTAAAATAAAAATCAGTGTGATGTTAGCAGTTATTTCTCCATCAAACTATGGATTTCCACTCAAAGCTTGAAACCTTTTACTAAATGTTTCAATTTAGCTCTAGGATACTTTTGTTCACAGTATTGCCCGATTTTCTAATAACTTCCAAGGACTTACCTTTCAAAGCCTTTGTACAATTTATCTGATTAGAACAAAGAATCACAAACCCCTCAGTTTTGCTTTCTAAAGAAATTAACTAATTATTTTGTAGGGTGGAAGATTTTTTTAAAAAAAGGAAAACCAAATTTAATTCTTAACCTTTGTGTGAATCATTAAAAAGTAGTACCAACGTAAAATCATGCACCAGCAAAGTGGATCAATCCAGAGAATTGGGAACGGCCATTAAGTCTCCTGCTTGCCGAGCTCAGCATGCATCACAGCTAAATGCCTAAACTGCTAAGACATTAAGCGATAACTAGTACTTAGATTAAGGGGAGTTTTTCTGGACAGTTCCTGTCAGTGTTTAACAGATCTATCCTACAGCTCCAAAGTAGACATGAGGTTATGCAATGATTAACTACTTTTATTTTGCTGTTGGTCTCCCTAGTTAAGAAGCTCTTCATTAGAGCACAGAGAGGTTTCAAATCTTGTTTCAAAAATGTATACAGTAATCCTTAAACGCTCTGAATATTAATGAAAAACACATTTTCTCTATACAGGTACCTCAACCTTCCAACTAATACTACCACCATTCCTCAGAGCTTTTGCTATCCGGCAAGACACAGCAAATGCTGAAGAAAGCTACGTGAAGGAAAAGATTTTAAATTAACATAAGATAACAAACGTATCTTACCCAATGGAACAATTGAGTGGATTTAGAATTGTAACTGAAATAATTTTTGCTATACGTGATATTGGGCATATTCTTATCAGACAATTTGATCTAAGAATCATGAAGCATATGTTAAGACAGATTAGCTAAAATACTCAGCTTAAACTAATTGGTTTTTAAAAAAACCCACCCGTTAGTTCAATCTGTATTCACGCCTGTTTTACATAAAGACACTCCTGAGTTTTTAAAAGCTAGCTTCCACTATTGATGTACTTCACAGTCACATTTTTCAAATGTTATATGTAGAAGAAAATATGCTTTGCTGACTTTACTTACCTTACCCAACTGACTAGAAAAACGGCGTATGTTTGTGTTGCAAGGCACAATAAAATTAAGAGGGAAGAAGTCAACAGTTTTTATGTTTTCTTGTTTCACAAACTTGACACCACCCAGTGGACTCCTACTGATTCCAGTGAAAGTCCACCAAAATTATTTAAAAATATGACTTCCAAGCTGGTTCGTTACTTTATACAGAACTTCCTAAAAACACCTAGACTGAAAGTCTAAGCAAAAAAATGCTGGTCAGAGGAGCGGACAAATTAATTTTCATTTTTTAAGAGAACATTATTCAAAGTAAAACTTTGGAGAACATTTTGAATTTGTTCAACTTCAAACATCAACCATAAGACAAAAGGTAGCCTTAAGATACACTACCTTTCTCTGTGCTCCCATTAATTTCAGGTATGAAGTCATCAACTTGTATGCCTAGGATTAAGAAAGGGTATTATTTCTGGAACCAAGCAAAAAATTTCAGGTTTGTTTCTTTATAAATACAGCATTGTGAAATGCATCTGGCTTCTCAGTCTACCTCCTTAAGTACCTAATCAAACAAAACAGGCAAAATTTAATGCATTTTCCTGCGCCGCAGATCATGTTCCTGTTTGTTCGTATACAGAAGAGGTTATAATCATCTAAAGTATTACTGCCTATAACACAGACACACACATATATAAAATCCTTACATATGTGTGGGTGTATATATATATATATACATGTGTATGCCCGCGTGTATGTGTATAAAATCTTCAAAATCTTGCAGGCGAGGAGGGACAGGGTGCTCTCCACTGAGCAACGACCCAGAAGCCTGAACACTCGCTCACACCAGCAGTGCCCTCTACTGGCATTCTGCTGGGGCCACATGTCTTCCCATCTTCCCCAGTGACGGCAAGAACACACCACTGGGACAAACTCCAACACGTGACTCTTTTGCCAGACACCTAGACTACAAGATCCTTACAATCAAAGTAATTGAACAGAAACCAGCTTGAAACAAGAAACTGATCACACCTACCTAAGCTGTTGTGTTCTTTAAGAGTTTTCTCTTGCAGATGTTCTAACCGTACTGTAAACAGAAGTCCAAGAAAAAGATATTTCACAGATTAAAAGAAAAACAAATAATCAAAGCTTCCTCCTCACTAGTGACTAACCTTGTAGAGCAGTCAGCCGCTCGTTGGTGAAGTCATTATCAGCTTGCAAGGCTTCTATTTTTGCTTGAAGCTCTTGCTCTCTCTCTTCCATTTCATCTATTTTATGCTGCAATTCCTTTTTCTCAGCCAGGCCTTTCTGTTGGATTTCTTCTTGTCTTCCTTCCGCTACCTGCTCAAAAAAAAAAGATTTTAAAAATCCCCCCAAAACCAAAATTAACATGTAAAGGAACAGATTTCCTTGGGGCCTGTATAACTACAGGCACGTAAGTAACTTTCTTTGCTAGTCAGATAAAGAAAAGGGAAAAAACACAAAATTTTTCTACTGTTAGTTTTCTTGAAATGAATTTATAGAAAAAAACAACAGTCAAGATATTCTGTGGTTCTTTCTATCTTTTTACCTGAGGAGCCTAAATTTTACAGGAACATTACCATTAGCTCACATCAGTTAAAACCTGGGTGGCCTTCTGAACTGAATGTGCATTGCACAGATCAGCTTGATGAAGAGCCACATCTTTTCTTTGCTGGATTTCATGAGAGTAAGTTTCAGTTCTAATTCTTCTGCATATACTCATCAGTGACTAAATCACAACTGGGAAACAAATTGCCTCAAGACCAGCAATTTCACATTTTGATTTGGAAAGAAAAATCTTCTGTCTGAAGTGCTGAACTAGGACTCGAAGAACCGAAGTTTGAATTCCAGCACTCATCCAAGACAAATGCAACAACTGTCTCAGGTCTAGACAGAGAACACTACTGCCTTCCTCCACATCATCTGCTTCATCTGGATTGGAGACTCTTTGGGAACAGGCTTTTATCATACTGTGATTATTTTCTTCTCCAGCATAAAGGACCTTTAAATATTAAGATATTAGCTAAATAACAAAGCTAGCAGCACACTCCTGCCTCAGAAACTGAGCCATTTTATTACTATGTGGCAGGCTAACTATGTGCGTAACTCCACAAGATGCAACTCAAAATGCAAAATTATTTATAGTTTTTGTTCCTGTTCTGTCTATATAAAGCAGCTGAAGAGAAACGTTTATACCATATTTTTATATTAAAATATATTCCCGCTTTAAAAATACAAACTTTCAAACTGAACAAAGAAATCTTTTTAGCAATTTACTTAATTGATGTCAGTTCCAAGTACTTGAAATTTAAACTGAAAGAATATGTAAAAAATAGGAATCTTTTTCACTAACCTGCTGTTTAAGTGTTCTTTGACCTTTGATTACTACATTAGAAATTAAAGTTTGTTTATTTTTTCCATGCATTATAGTATCATTATGAGTCAGATGAAGTTCTGTTACTACCTTTAGCTTGTCAGAAAGATCTTTAATTTCATTTACAGCTCCATTGTACTTATTAGCTAATTCTCTTAATTCTTCCTGAGTCCGCTCATTCATTTCTTTCAGGTGAGTACATTCATCTTCTGTATTACTTAAACTCCGCTGTAAAATAAAATTATTGTGCAATAAATAATAAAGATACTATTAATATAGTAAACACTGAAGTTGATCTATTTCTTCCAAATGGGATGTGTAACTAGTCATAGTCAACTGCTTTGTTCCTAATCACTAAGGTTAAACAAACAGATCAAGTCCTGACAAAAGTACTATCTATACAAACCTTTGTAATGTTTTTAGATCGGATTATGTGGAAATACATTGGCTTTATCCATGTGTAAAAAAACCCAAACATCCTACAGTAGGTTATATAATTAATTGTGATTGACAGGAATGAAGAACTGAAATGTGATCTATCTCTCCCATTCTCTTCTGATTTAAGGTAACTGAAAGTTTTATAAAATTCTGTAATTCAGTGGAACCAACAGATTTCACCATACCTTTCACTCAATAAAGACAGACCTAACATATTATAAAAGCCAAAAGGTTCCAGGGAAGTGTTCCAAATTTTTTTTCAGTACTCCATAACATGGAAAGGCATCTAAACTAAAGTCCCTTTACCTCAAGAGGCAGCTGGATCTTCTTCACCACTGAAACAGATCCAAACATCTTCAAATAAAAGAACATTCAAAACTGTATTATCTAATAATTATTAAAGGACAACTTTTAATCAGGAGATAATGATCCTTCTGTGTGGAGGGAAAAGTATGTGGCAGGAAGCACTCAAGCAAACCTCTTACTGAAGTTACATTAATATTTCTGCCTCAAGAGACAAAGTGAAGAGGAAAAAGTAGAATAAATAGGTCAGAAAATTCTTCTCTTAGAAGAGGACTGGAGAGGAGAGGAAAGCTAGAAGTAAACATAAAACTCCAACCATTAACAAGTCTGTCAAGAACTACTGCCATATAAAAAGGTGTGCTGAATTAAAATCTCACAAGGTTATTTATTACAGCACTATATGCATTGCATTCTCTAAAAAGCATTAAGAGAGTAGAGACTGTGCACTAATTTTAAATTTTAAGATATTTCTTGACCTAAAGAAACAAAGCAAGTAATGGTAACGGAAAGAGAAAAAAAAGGGAAATAGAGTAATGAGAGATATAGAGGCAGAAATCTTATTTGAAGGAAGTGTCCAACACACTGTAATCTTAAAAGCTGATTCTTAAGTGTAATTTGTATGAGCAATTAAGCTTCTATTTCCACGTTTTACAGTTTAAACAAGGTCTAACAGCATTTTTATTATGTCATTTTCCCCTCACTTATTACCACACATATTAACTTCTGTAAAACAGTTTCATAAACTTGCTAGATTTCAAAATTTAAGGAATAGCTTCCCACTAACTTTAACAATCTAAGTATTGTCCAATAGGAGAAATAAGTACTCCTACTTAATACACTCCAAATGACAAAATAAAACAAATACTATAGGTAACAAATATTACAGGTAACAAAACAGGGATCCAAGTAGCAGCAGTTATAGCTATTTCAGGATTTCCAGAAGACTCGGCAAGAAACTTCAATACCTCCACTTCAGACAGTTTTCTGACTACTTCAATTTTCTCCTGAAGGACCCGCCTCAGGGACTCTTTGGCTGTTGTCTCATAATTGTGTTTGTCTTCTTGTAATGCTATAAGCTCTTTTCGTATACTGTCTTCTGTTTGATTCTGTACGTATAAGATAATTCAGATTGAAAGACGGAATATGAATTAGTATTGTGCTGATAGAATACATTACATGCTGACAAGACCTGTTCTATTCCAAAATGTTTAGAAATTGCTAACAGATGGAAAACATTATGGACAAATCAGTTAATAAGATTCCCGGCACGATTTGGTGTAAATCAGTTATTTTTTGAAGTGTACGTATGGCAGCACACACTCGGCCATCAGCTTGGATTACAGGAGAAATATAAGGTTTTTTTGGACACTGCTAAGACAATGTCAAGCCTAGGAAACCTACATTTTGACAATTCAGAAACCTATGAGGTGCCACCTGGAAGACCTCAAACAAGGCCTGCAAAAAGATTTCTCACAGTTTAGGTAATTGAGAGGACTTAAAAATAAAATAAAAATTTAAGGTAGGCAAACAATCAAGGCAGGGTACACTTGTTACTCTGTCTCTGAATATCAGATAGCACATCAATAATGCCTTTTTTCAAATCCTTATTTGGAAAGAGTCATCCACAGGGAACAGGGCAGAATGGTTACTTCTCACCAATGACAAACTCCTTTCTTGCATTTCACTGCATACATCTTTATGTGCATATACCAAAGAAACTAATTTGGGTTTAAAAAATGCTGAGAAAAAAGCCATTTACCTAGATTTGAAGTGATTCCACAAAATACAGATCAAATCTACAGTTTTCATACTATACAGGTTATCAGAATTGCACAGTCTCATTTCAGAAAGTTTGTTTCAACTGCTTTTCTACAACTAAGCTCAGAATATTTGAGAAGAGTTATCTTTCAGTGTTCCTAGCATTTAGCTTTAAGTGAGCTACTTACCTTTGAGCACGCCTGTAACTGATTTCCCATAACCTCTAATCTTGATAGCAGCCTGTCTTCATCTATTAAAGCCTAGCAAAAAAAAAAAAAAAGTATCACGTCGGCATCAGCACGTGCTTCCTGTAGAGTTGTGCTTCCAGTAGAGCTGTCCTTCAAAGACTGGAGTGTTGCTGGAGTACTTACTACTAAGTTATTTCAAACTGGTATATTACCACTAAATTTATTAAACATTACACAATTTAAAAGAACTGTCATAAGCTTTTTATTCTTTCTGCTGCTTTTCCACCCCTTGTATATTAACAGCTAAAATTTATATGCCACTGCATATTTCAGTCCCTAAAGGAAAGGATGCCTGCGGATACCTGCCAACTAGTATCGGAAGCCTCTTGCGTGACAGCAAGTAGTCGCTGAAGGGTTGCCAGCTTCTGTTCCAACATTTGTTCCCGATGTAAGGCTTCCTATGAAGAGAGCAGAACACCAATCGGTTCAGCTAGAACAAGTCAGAAAAACAGAAGCAATAGGAGAGATACTAAAATAAGAAGAAAAGTGAATAGCAAACATTGTCACATATTCCATGCTAAAATAAGTGCACCACATTTTATCCATCCACACATTTGTCATATTTTAATTAGAAAATGTTACCCTGTTACCTCAGGTTTCTGAAAATCTTGGTTTTTCAGGAATATGTTGCACATGCTGAGTACACGTTGTAACAAGCTACTCTTTCCAAGACTTATAGCCACTTAGACTTTTGTCAGTCATTTAAACAACAAAACTGTAAACATCAAAAGGCAGACTTGGCAGCTCCCATGCTATGAGCTGTTTATCTTCAAATCAGGTCACGAAAGAAAAATGTCAGGCACGAACTACTATTTTTTGGTTTATTTTAGTTTTATGGCAGCAAGATAGAAAAGCATCTTTGTTAACAATTGCAGGATACAGAGAGTGAACAGATTGGTGAGTGAGCAGGTATTTGGCCTTCCAAGAAAGTGCATCTGCCTGGGCTGCTCCCTGCTACTTCAGTAAATGCATACAAATGCCTCAAAAGCCTCATCATGAATGTGAATAAACAAGAATTGCCCTTACCAAACAGGCAAAATAAATCAGTAGAACTATACATAAATTAAACCTAGATACAATTTACCAGTAAGAATATTTTCATCTTTTCCAGAAAGCTGATCTTAAAATCCTTTCTGAAGAGTATGTTTATATTTCCACACACTTGAACATGTTGCCATTTTGCAGCCTCACCCTTTGCGACATGACATCTCAGGGAAACACACACCTACTAAAACAAGAGCAGGCACAGAAAGGCTGGCGACGCAGTGATGCCAATGAGGAAGAAGAACCGCAAAGCACTGTCCCCTCCTTTACGCTTTCCAGTAGATACAGGGACGAAAATATTCACACTAAGAAATTATATTCACAGAAACAAACTAGTTCTTGACACACAAAATAAACTATTGTTTTGAGTTTCTTTTTCTCCTGCCAAAACTTTAATACATATACATAGTACACCCAACAGCAATGGATGATGGTAAAAATATTGGGAGCAAAACTGGAGACAGTGAGACAGGAGAGGATAAAGGCCAGGAAAGGCAGGTATATTGCATTCAAGGGAGCCTTCTATAAAAAAGGGAGCTTTCATGTTTCTTTTACAAGTCACAGGCTATACTGCTCATGCAAAACCACAAGACTTCACCTAGAATTATACTACATCCAATTACCACATCTTACACTATTTCACTACAGAAAAGGTAGCTGAAGTGCTTATGTTTCCATCTACAAAATGCAGACCAAAGACATACAGAGCAGAACATCTGTGCTTTGAGCAAAGATTCAATGTTCAGCCAAACTAAATGACGTCAGGAGAGAACCTACCTGTAGATACTGTGAAAGCTGAAACAATTCCTGAGAATACATACTGGGAGTGTTAGCAGCAACCTGAAAAATAAAGAGAATTTAAGAAATAAAATTGTTTGGGATTTTTCGTTAAACACAAATAATGCGAAACTCAACAATTAAAGCTAATCATGAAGATAAATTTAAGGTCATAATAATGGCATTTTCAATCATTTATTGTTCTTTTACTATTTATTCTTTGTTGTATCATAGAACTTCCCAACCCCAGACTGAAGCCCTGCTGTGTTAATACATTTGCAAATTCTTGAATCACCAACACACCAAAGAATTTTAGGCTTTTGTTTCAACTGAGATTAAACTGACAAGAAAGAAACAAGGTGCACAAAGGTGAAGTCATTTAACCCAAGGACAAAGAGAAATCAGGGGCTTCCAGAACCGAACACCACACACAGATATTTCAATCACGTTTCCTCTTGACCTCCTAGTCATCATCTTCATCATTTCCCTTTATAAGTATCTATTTCAGATTTGGAGAATGTCTGTATTATCTTTAATCATGATTGAAACTGTTCTGGACTCGGGGGGATGAAAGGGCTTGTTTTGTCATTTTTTTTGGGGGGGTAAGTTTATTTATTTACTAATTCTTGTACGCTAAAATGACATAATTTTGAAGTTGCTCTGCATACAGTGATACCTGCAGTCCCTCCTCAGAATTTCTGCCCTTGCCCTGGGATTCAAGCTACACACGCCGTTTTGAAACCTCAACTCAAACACAAAGTCTATGAACTGCTCAGGCTGCTGCTTCACAAATAAGCTTCCCTAGTTTCTCAACATTTTGTTCTTCACATTTAAACTGACTCAAACCTATTCAAGCTAATCCTTCCAGTCACAGGCTAAAGAGACAATCAATTCCTGATCATCTGTGTCAAGGGTGTATCTGTTAACAGCTTTTCTACAAGTTCCCCACATTATGAAAACTACACTACACACTCCTTACTCCATGACACTACAGTGAGCAACTCTGGCTACACAAGGGTAGCAGAGGACTGGTCTCAGACTTCTTTGGAACACGCCAGAGCACTTTCTAGCCTCTGCAGAGCTGATTCTTCTCCACAAAAAAAAAAAAAAAAAAAAACCAACAACAAAAAAAACCCAACAAACACAGACCTCATCTGAACTTCAAACCATGAGCTACTCTCAGGTCCCGAAGAACAGATCATAGAATCACAGAATGGTCTGGGCTGGAAGGGATCTTCGAGATCATTTAATCCAACCTCCCTGCCATGGGCAGGGACACCACCTCTCGACTAGATTAGACCTGTTAATCTGTCAACCTGTACCTGAACATTTAATCATCTTGAAACATCAACAGGTTTTTTCCAAAGCCATATTTCAGACGCTGCACTCTAAGAAATGAAGCTCTCAGAAAATACACTGTGATACTCCATTACGTTCTCTACCTGACTTAACTGTCACTCAAAATATTAAATTAGGTGAAAACAGGCAGTGGAAAATATATCTAATGTAGAGTGGATTTCACCACTTGTTGATCTTTATAACAAGTCAGAAAACAGCATGTGGCTGAATGAGGCAGAAAACAGTGAATTACTGAATTACCTTGTCAACAGGACTTGGTAATGGAGCATGGATAACACTAAAAAATAAAACAAAACCCCAACAGTTAAATGTTACGTTGAGCAACATTTTCAAAGTTACAGAGTTATTTTCAAATTATAAATTCAAGTTCTATTCTAAAAACTCCCTTTGCCAACTTCTATTTCAGTAGTTACAAAATATTTTATTCTTTTAAAAATAATTTATTAAGAATTAAACCACTTTACATGCATAAAATAATAGATATGAAAAGCCAGTGGATATAAGACTCGTTTAAAAATCCAAATTAAGTAAAATATTATTTGGTAACTTACAGAATTGTATACCCTTTCACTAAAGCAAATGCCGAAGTTGCACATTCTCATCAGAACAAAAAATCTAACACTTGACATTTCCACTATTTCTTATTAGGACATGCAATTACATGGAAAATGTCCCATAATGACTTATTTTGACTTATCTTCCCAGAAGCAAAGGCACCCTAAAACTTCATGCAAATATTTCTGCATACCAATGATAACAAGAAATTTAAATAAGCAATTAAAAACGTATAATTGCTGAGAACAAAATCGGATTAAAATTATATAATTTGTCATTTTGTTTCTACTACTCTGAGATTTTCTCCAGAACATGCACATTCGTACAGAAAACCGTCTCAATATTCATCTGAGTTTGCAAACGTTATTCTGTCCAACATATTATATGATTATTTGTTTTCCCTCTCATGCCAGGCAGTTTTCATTGTGACACCAAACAGCTGCACCACAACACGAGGTAACTGTATGACTCGTTCAAAGAACATCAACAGTGTTACACGTACATGTGCACACACACACAGACACCATTAGCTCCACTTCAGCAGAGCAAAAATAAGCCCAAATGGAAAAAGAGGGAAGGAGAACTTGCCCCCCCATATTTTTCTGTTTATAACACCCATTCCAGTCCACTAAACCATAGCGTGTCAGAAACATCCAACTTGATGAGAACATTTTTATTCTTTCATAGTTTCTAAAAGCAACAAGCTAATGAGATTTCTTTTTCATAATGCAACATAAAGTTGTATGTTCTCAGTTACTTTCACTGCACAATCACCAGAAAATAAACATAACATACATCAAATCCTCATAATACAGTAGTTGAAACTTGCTACACGTGAATAGTTATTTAGTCTTACTCTGATCGCAATCGAGCTTCCATTCCATCTGGAAGAAACAGTTTGATTGTGGAGACTATACATCCATGGGTAACTGAAAAGAAACAAATACCAAGTCACCATGATTTCCTATTACTAAATTTTAAGTTCAATGGTTAATGTTACTGTAACCAAGCTAACTCATAAGAAATTCTGAGGCAGGTAAACAAGAAGAGGCATAAATGCCTTCAGGCACCAGGTCTCTCTTCTCGGACTTCCTCTCGGAGACAGGAAACTTAATCACTAGAAACTCAAAGAGGTTAGGCTGTGTACTTCGTCCTGGCTGTGAAGCAGTTCCAATTCTTCCACATGCAGCAACGCCTCCAAGTTGTCTTTGCTGCAGGCAGTTAAAAACATTAACTGTATGTTCTGATCATAAAATGAAGGAAAAGGAACACTGTTTACCCGCCCTAAGTAGTGGGAATGCAAAAGTATAAACAAAATAGCAAGCTACCTTTTTGACAGGATTCCTATGACAATATCCAAGGGACTGAAAAGATAACACATCCAATTTGTGTCCCTGCTTCAACATCTGGAACTTGCCAAATGATTGTTATTGACAAAGGAAAGGATCCAAAAGGGAATGAAAAGGGAGAGGATAGGAACCACCAAGAAGCACATCGTCCTGAGCACTGGGAGCAGCACCGCTGGAGACAACACATCCCTGCCTTGGTGTGCCTGTACGCACCTCGGGTGCGTCTGATGCACAGCCCTGCACAAGCGGCCTCAATTCAGGAGAAGGTTTGCTTCTCCAGGACTAAATTCAAGATGCTTTGAACTCAAGAAAGACCCTAACAAATAAGAGAAATGCAATATTTGATTCTTACATCAAGTTCAACCTTTCTCCACAATGTTACCCAAAAATCTTACTGATAACATTTTCAATGATGCTGCAAACCACCAAATCACACCTGGCTTTATGGTGGTGGTTTTTCATTGGGGGTTTTGTTTTGTTTTGTTTGGGAGGTGAGGTTGGTTGGGGTTTTTTTGTTGTCTTTTTTGTACAGTTCTAAGAGTTAGAAAGCAAAAATTCTTTCTAGTTACATGAAAGGTAGACACTACTCCCAAAATACAAGTGCAAGCTAGATACAAGTAAGTCACCTACCACTATACCTAAAGCACCCATCAACATAAAAAGGCAAATAACTGCTCTACTTTCACAGTTATTAATATCAGCAAAACAGTTAACTTTGCATTGGGAAAAAAAAGAAAAAAAAAAAGAGGGGCAATGGGTGTTTTAGGACATGGGTTATACTCCAGGGAAATGAGACAAGTCTTTGAGGAAGCTACCTCAATAGAATCTAAAAATACAGGAGAAATTATCCAGCTTAACAGGGCTGTTTTAACCTTTACTCAGTGCTAAAAGCTAATGCTTTAGAGAATCATCCTCTTGGCTACAGTACCTTGTTTTTTCAAGCTGACCTGGTAAAGCACTGAATTTCCATGCCAGGTAGTAACAGCCAGGACCTCAGTCTCAAATCAGATTAACCCAGGCATCCTGGGGCTTTTTCAGCTTCAGACCTAGGGCCCCAGAATTCACAAATCTGTTCTTGGGGAAACATTAAAAAAATTCCCATAGCAATATTAGCTAATGTGATACACAGCCTTCGTAACGAACAATATTTCCTTTAAGGCATAAAGAGGAAACCTGTGACTTGAATAAAAACGCACCGGGGTATGAGAAAGAGAGGAGGAGCAGCAGCTTCACCCGTGGGTCACACCTTAAGACTGAAAAAAACCCAACATCACCCAAAAGCCCAAGGCAGAGGTAACGCAACGCACAGCACATCACCCCAGCCGGACGGGCAGGACGGTAACAGCTGTTTCAATTCGAGTCCGTGTTTTTCCTCCCGGCAATGAAGTAAAACGAACGAAAAGCGGCAACGGAGCGGCCGGACCAGGACGGGACCGTCCCACCCCCCGCTT